GCCTGAGTTCTAACATGGTGCACATGACAGAAAGAAGTTCTGGTTTAGGAGTCTACAGATTTACTCTGTGCTTGCATGGCAGGAACCGGTCACTTAAACCTGTCAGCTACTGACGTTAATAGCATCAAGGACCATGTGGACAGGCTTGAGCCCTCTAGAGTGTTCTTTATGAACCAGCCACAGGTCCCACTACTAGCTACACTGTGACCAGCCATGTAAGACATGTTAGTCTCATAAGATGGGAAAATACAGAAGCCTCCTTCACCAGAGGATGAAGATAAAAAATGCCTAATAGAGAAATGTTTATGAAAAGAACAGAACAAAATCTGTTTCTTTCACAACTAGCAAAGCTAGGACACATAATGGTGTGAGATTTGTCCTCTGGAATTATAAGACCGAAAACCTGGTCCATTTGGCCAGGTAAGTACATTTCCTGGAGCTTTTTTGGCTAGCACTGAAAATCTCAGAGAACAGAAAATCCTGCTCGCAGAAGAACAGATAAGCTTTATCAAGGGGAGCAGCATTCCACAAGTTATATGTCATGATGTGGAGGCATGATCACCTAGTGATGTGACTCTTTTGCCTGAGAAACTTCACAGAAGCCCAGGCAACTTGTGTATATGGGGGTCATTATCCAGTTTCACTAATAAAGAAAGGTAGGTGTGGATTCATCACTCAGTAATAACCTTTTGAAATCCCAATACTACTAATTCCTCTGCTAAGATAATGAAAGACAGAAACGGTCCTGGGAGTCTTCATGGTCCCAAGCAAGGGAAGAGTCAAACTGAAATCAAGCAAAGGTGTCAGAAAGAACAGCCAGAAATTGTGGCAATGATTCAGCTTACACTCTAAAACGTTGTGCCAAGTACTGTGCTAAAGCACAGTGCTGAGAGAAGTCTTGGCTTCGCCTTGTTAAAAAGAACATGCTGGTTCAGATTTGGTAAATACTAGTTTGATAAATAATAAGCTAAACCATCCCTTGAGTTTATCCTTGTTTCTGATGATGTGAGTCAGCAGAGTCTCTGCTGCTCAGTAACCTCTCAACCGTTCTCAGTTCCCTCTAGCAATTAACAAGGGAAAAGAGAATCTCAATTAAATTACCTTTCAGAAGGAAGGTAAATGGGAACAGAATCCCTTGTCAAGAGGATCAGCCCCTGATACATTCATAGAGATTAGCGCCAGCCTCTGGCTGAAGTTGACTGCTTTGGCTTCTGATAATCCTAGCAAGCAAGGTCTGAGGAAGATGTAACAAACTTCTACTGCTTAGAATCTTTTGCACGTATGTAGGGCCTGTAGGCAGGGATGTGCCTTCAGTGTAAACACCAACAGCAGTTGGTAAGTAAATCTCTCAATGTGGTATGAGTGTCATTCATAGCACAAGGCCAATACGTAGCCTTTGGAGAGCCCAAAAAGCCATCATCCAGAGTGGAGAACAACAGTTTTGACAGTCTAAAAGCCAACAGTGCCCGGAAAGGAGGAAAGCAGGCTGTTCCACGTCACCAGGAGGCTGGAAAGAAGAGAGGAGGCTCTGGTTGTACTCCGCCTTCTGTGTCAATGTTCGGTGCCACGCACTCCCGTAGGTATACTCTGAGTATGCCATGCTCAGGACCGTGTCCCTCACAAAAACACACCTGCAGCAGGTTGCTCATTTTTACAGAGAGGGTCAGGAGGCCACCCAACTCTAATCATCAGAGATTCTGCCCTGGAATCAGTTCCTTCCTCAGCCTGCTCACACTCTCCCAGAAAGTGGCCATAATTGCTAGTTTATAGGTTTGTCTGGGTGGAATCCAACCTTTTTTTCAAAGCTAGCCTACTATGCCAAATCCTGTGGTGTCTGCCTCAAAAGCACTCTCCATGAGAACAGAATGCACATTTTATGAGAGCAGGAGAGCATGTCAAAGCAGGTGCAGCATATACTTCCCTGGCTTCAAAGAGGAAAAAGCGCAGAGAGATGGTTAGTGTATTGAACCCATTCCCCTCTTCACAGACTTATTTAGAACATCTAACACTACAGACTTCAGCAAAAATGATTACTAGTAGCAGAAGTTCCTGTCCAGAGGTACAAAGGAGAAGCTCCTATGCACCCACAGCATGGCCCCATTCTCATTACACACAATGGAAAGAATATTGCTGATTTTATTAGGAATTGAGTCAGACCCTGTCAACAAGCTAGCCAGTGAGCTAGGAGGTATTGAGGGCGAAGGCTCACTTCTGCCTTTTAAATCTGAACCAAACAGGAATCCAAAACATATTTTCCCATTTCAATCACTTCCCTGATTTAATAAGCCTCTCCTTGCTGTACTAGGGCAATATTATTGTTTATTGATTACTCATTTTTAAAATGGAATCCCATCTGTTCTGCTTTACTCCTGCCTATTTGCAAAGTCTCCAATTAAATAAGGAATAAGATCTTAATTCCAGTATGGTTCAAATACACTGAAATGAAGGCTACAGCTGCTTTTTCATCTACTCCTTTGTAGTCTAAGGATGGGTGGCTTCTTTACAGAAACTGCTTAAATATTAGAAAATATTAGCACTGCTGTGAATGGGAAGATGTGCAAAGGTTCCTTTACAGGTCTGATTTTTCTTTCCTGTTTCCAAACAGGATTGGAGAACTTCATAAAATATAATAATCCCACAGGAGACTCATATCACTTTGATATCAATTCCATGCTGGGCTTGACATGCAGAAAGTCAAGCAAATTCAAATATTATAAAGAACATGATAATTTCTGTTCATATAGAATAAGACTGCTAAAGTTAGGCTGTATGGGAGGTTTGCAGCAATGTACATGCACACACACCAATGTACGTGTCCACTCTCTGTTACTAATACCTCTCTACCTGCATTGTAGCTTTTTTTGATGTTCCTAGGCTTAGCTGCCCTTACACACTGTAATTTCCATTGAATGATTCATACGCTTTGCCTAGAGATTTGCATTGCAGAAGCAATCTCACTATTCTCTTTTGTTCTGAAGATTTAAACACCAATCACCACACCTCTTAATTCTCCTAATCAAATCAAAGCATGTCCTAAAACACATTGACCCTCCAATTCCATGCCCTCTGCTCTTCCTGAAAGCTAACAGAACCAGGCTGGTTTGCATAGAGCCTCCCCTTTCCAAACTGCCTCTGCAGTTTCTCCCAGTCTCTCTCCCATTCTTTAGTGGTAACTCCATCCACCACTGGAACCTGCTGTGGCACAACCCAGTTGTGCCTCTATTGCTGAAAAGACCTGAGAGGGTTTCGAGTACACAGAAAAGGATCAGGATTCTCAAGCTTCTTGAATCCATCCATTTCCATGCTTTATATAGTGCTGCATATAACAGTTTTATTCAAGGAAAAAAGAAAAGAGGGACTGAAAAAATTGAACGTTATCTAATGTAGTGCAATTTGTATGTAATCTATCACTGGAGCTTGAAGTCACATATGTATGAAGAACATGACCCTTCTCAGTTCAGCTTAGCTTATACATCATCTTTCCTTCCATAGTGGGATAAACCTGTGGAAGTCCATAAAAAAAAGGGTCAAGCTAAAGGTATTCAGAAGTAGCCATGAATTTTATCACAGATTCACAAGAAATCCGCCTTAATTGTCAACATCAGTCAATGCACCAATTCTGCAACGTCCTTACTGTAATGTATGTACAGATGATTTGCTCTGTACATGCTTTTCATGGCCACCACTTCACAGAGCATAATTTGTCTTGGACAAACCACTGACACATACTGAACAATATGCTGAAAAAATCCTTGATGCTTTTTTTTTCTTCTGTCTGTTGTACAGTATGTTCCAAATACGTGGAGGATAGAAGACAGATTGACAGAAACTCGGATGACCCTTCTAAGACTATTCCTACAGTTTTATAGACTATAGTCTTATCATCTTACAGTCCTTCCTGCTTGAAACTATTCCTACAGCGTCCTAAAATTTATCCACCTTGGCTTGTTTCTTTGCTTACATCAGATATTACTGCAGTCACTAACTACATACAGTGCTAAGATCTTTTCCATCCATGTTTATGTCATATGTGATAAACATTCACCATCAGGCAATGTTCTCTGTGTTAACAAATTCCTCTAAAATTATGTTGATTCTTTTGAGTAAACAAAGAGAGGTATCAACGAATCATTAGGAAAAAAAATCTAGATTAATTAAAACCAATTCTGCAAGCTTAAAAATCACGGACTTCTTTCCCCAATTTAAATGAATGTCACAGCCATAACTGTTAAAATTCTTACCTACGCTCATCATAAAAACCTAATCTTACTAAAAAAAAAAAAGAAAAAAAAAAGGAATTCAGCTTTTATCACTTTGTGTATAAGAAATGCTTTTCCTGAACAATAAAAACATGTGCAAATGCTTCCTTTTGTTCCCAGTTAGCTCTCATTTTCTGATTCTCTTTCACTAAGCTGATCTTTGGGTTGCCCATATTTCAGGGGAGAACCTTTGTAACAATTACAATCCAAGCTAAAACTTTATTCTTCTAAATCCTAAATCAGAGACAAACTTAATCTGAGAGTTTCACATCAAATGGGCTACTTTCAAATTCCGGGATGTAACTGGCTTCTGTTCTTTCTCTCCTCTCCATCACTGTGCCACATATTTCAGTAAATTTTTCTTCTTTTTTAATTGTTTTCTTTAGACTTGTTTATCTCTAGTCATTACTCCCTGTTTCACCAGATAGCAAGTCTTGATGTTATTCCATAGCAAAGAAGGGCCACCGCGCTGTCCTCACAGAAGTCAATGGCAAAATTCCCAGTCACGACAGAAGAAATGAAATATTGCTCTGATACATTTTAACTGAAACTTTTCTGGACTCCCAGCTAATTAAATACCCTGCCATTACGCTACTTCGCCTTTGTTGACTTTCTACTTGTCTGGGTTGAAATACTTGAACTCTTCAAGAAATTTAGTTGTCTCTGTTCTCCTCTCCTCTTTTCCCTTGAAACCAACAAACATATTCCTTCTCTTTTAAAATATAATATTACATTTCTTACCATCCATGCTGTGACAAAATCTCCCATCCAAGTCCCAACTGCAGCTACCTTCATAAAATTTTCATTCCTGATGCCCATGAAGTCTGTTATAATGTATGCACTGTGGAAACAAGAACACAGACTGTAAGCTATACACATTTGCTTAATGCAGTTACAAAGAACTTGCTTTAGTGACAAAATTTATCATTAGCTGTGAAAGATTTCCCATTTCTTTCACAATCACTCTTTCTGCTACATCTGAGTCTTGACACAGAACTGAACAAGGATGGGTCAATTCCAATTAGAAACAGAAATGTGAATCTGATTTTACAGCCCATGTCCTTTTGAAGGTGCTAAGATAATGATAGGCAAAGGCTTTAGGATTATGTAAGGCTTCTGGAAATATAAACTGTTTTACACCTTTTACCTCTTCCTTTGTACAAATGGAATCAGTGACTTTGCAAAATCTTTATGAAGAAAAATGAAAATCTTTAAGTTCTCTTTAAAAAGATAATTGAGCCACTTGACTTTTCACTCTACCAGCTATATAACCACATTTTTTTAACAAAAGAGTGCAAACGAGTTTTGCAGAATTTCAGTCAGATGTCACTGTTTCTTGATTTATATAATGTATTTTCATAGATATATTTTACTAAATCCAAAAGAAGCATTCCCATTCTGCTTAAATAATGCAACAGATAGGGTTTAAAACCTCATGCAATAATTTGACCTCTACTTTCAACTTCATCAAGATGCTATAAGGACAATTAAGAAGGTAAAGTTACTTGTGTGGGATTAAAACCTTTGTGAAAAAATCATAGCTTTTAATATAATCATACCCTTTGCTAAAAGACTTTGATAGTGTTTGAGAAGACTTTCCTCAAGAGCTAACACATTGGATAATGATAGCAATTATATTTTAACTTCCCAAGTGAAATCTTTGTTTTCAAGATACCTGTAAACATCGCTTATATAATGTTATGCCTATTTAAGGGTGCGCACAAGGGACCTAGTTGCTTGTAACAACTTCCTTGAACATTGCGTTATCCATTATTCAAATCTTACCATTAACATACACCAAATGTTGTAATGTCTAGGAGCTAACGGACCATATCCCTGCAACTGGATCAGTGCAAGCTGATCCCACTTTCTGGGGAAGCCCTATTAAAATCTAAATATTTTATCAGGATAGAGGGTCTTGCTAGCACAAATCCATGCACAGCACTGTATCACTTCTTAGATACAAGTTAGTATGTTCTAGAGTTGAAATACTGATGTCATTGAATAGTTTCATGACATATGTAAAATGGGATACCCTAAAGGCTCTTTTCATTATACACGTCATGAGCTTTTGGCTAATATGTCACTTACAAAAATACCACACCTTTTTTTTCATCTGTTGAACAGCATATAAATGCTGGCTCAGATTTTCTGCTGGAATTATAAAAAAAAATACCCACATTTTTTTCCAAGTTATTTTTAATTATGTTCCTTGTAGTTAATAAGATCATCAACATTCTAAATTCACCATGTTGTAAATAAGCATGTAACAACACAAGAACAGCTACGCTGGGTCAGCCTAAAGTCTCCTTATTCCAACGCCCTGTCTCCAAGAGAGGGCAACAGCAGATACCTAGGGAAGACTGTGAGAGTAGGCAAGCACGCACACCCCCCCCATATATTCTCCCAGCCTCTTTATAACTGGGAAACATTTGGAATTCCTTTTTTTCCTGCATCTTGGGTATGCCATTCTTGTAGCATCCATGAAGGTGAAAAATTGTCAAGGCTGCACTCCTTAAGAAGGTGTCTCATTAACAAAGAAGGCACAACAATAAATGTCAGGTGTAAGGACTGGCCCCCAAAAGCAAACCGTGTCTTTATCTTTTTCATCAGTGTGAAACACATACGAAACCCCCACAGTTCTCACCTTTTTTATTCCCATTTCTCATATGCATTATACATTCTCATATGCATTATACATGATTACAGGTGTACGGAAACTGAATGAACACTTGCACAACGCTCCTGAAAAAGGGGCCACTTGGGTAACCCCTATAGCCCCGTTGCATATAGTGGGCCTGCCACAGCCACGCACGGCAGGCTGATGGACACAAGACGGGTTATCCAAAAAGGCTGAGAGGTCACTGATCACTGAATATAGGCATTAACAAGTAGAAGAGGTATCAAACCAGACATAAGCTATTTTTTTAATGGAAATTGAAGTTCTCCATGTAGTCACTTGTTTTTCCAAATGTTAAAAGTACCTGAAGGCTTATAATAAGGTTGGATGAGGTGGGTATGATACTTAAATACACAGAAAGGCCTTATAAGCACCAGATCATTCTAACAGTCCTGTTTGTAATTTGAAACATGAGCATTTGCAACATGAAGGAATCCAAGAAGCCTAGTATAAATTGTGCATTGTAGTCTATAAGTAATTAATGCCTAAATTAAATATGCAAATTGACAGACCTTCAGTTAGAGTTAAAATAGCATGTTATTATAAAGAAACTCTTAAGAACATAATCTGTGCATATTGTAAGTGCATTTACTGATTAAAATACAGGTACAACTTTTTATGGAACAGGGAAAATATTTTTAGCACTGTCATTATCTTATTAGAAATAGTAATGAAATACACTGCATTTTATTAACTATTGTATTAACTATTAGCATTACATCCTGTGTCTCTTATGTGCTCTGCAGTATTATTTTCATTTCAAAACACAAAGAGAAACTGACTTTGTAAAAATATGGATTTTTGCCTGCTAAAAATGAAAAAATGCTCCATTTTTAATTTTCAGGTTTTAGTTTAAATATAAATGAGAGTAGTTGACATTTTTGAAAAAGCCATGCTTGCCTGATGATGTCACCAGGATATATAATTTAACAATGCCAAAAGTAAAATCAATTCTATTGTGGAAAAATCCCCACTTTTTCCTAGCTTTAGCTAGTGATTAGAGGAGTTTTCAATAATTGGTTACTCTGCCTCCTGGCTAGGAGCCATGCCTGCACCTTGCAGGAGGGCTAATAGCTGTTGCGTTCCAGTTAACTGTCATGGTCAGCCCAGATTTTCTATAGCTTGTCAAAAGGCTTCTGTTTACTATGCCATACTTGTATTCTGTAGCAAGGTACATTCATATTGCATGAATGGCACAATCTAAGAAAACACTGAGTGGAAAAACACAGCAGTTAAAGCTCGTAACAGAGTAAAAAGCTCTTCAGAAACGGACAGGATAAGTGTAAATAATTAAAGGCTGAGGAGCCAATACTCGTGAATGTTATAGATAAAGGACAAGTTTGTGATTGGGATTTGGGACAAACCCACTATTAACCTCTGACAGTTAAACTGGAAGCTGCAAAGTCAGGGAAATTGCTCTTTGCAGGCCAAAGCCTATGGAAGGTAGACCCCAATTTTGACAGAGTAAGACAAAACAGAGGAACCAAAAGACAAAAGAGACCTGAGACACATAGTTCTAAAACAGAGCCCAAAAAACCCTGTCACAAGGTGCTGCCAATATCCATGTTGTTGCAAAAGGTAAGTTAATAACACTGAGTCAGTAAAAAGATTTATGAGCTGAATGTATTTGATCACTTTTCTGGAGTTGGCAGCAGAGCGTGCACAGAGCAGACAAAGAGGGAAACAACAGTACTAGCCCAGAGAAATTGTTCAAAGGAAGATATCGGAGCATTTTTTCAAAGAAGGATGACACTTTAGCAGCTGCCAAAATGACAAGCAATCTGAAAGCAAATGGAACGTTTTTATTTTTAAGTTGGATAACAAGGTACAAGCCACCATGGTGCTATCAACATTATTCCAGGCACTGGAATAAAAGTCATGGCTGAAACTCAGCGCTGAGATGGTGTTTTCTTGACCATCACAGCAATCTAAAACTGGGATATAGCTTGAATTTAGACACTTAAATTTAAGACTAAGTCAGGGATCCAAATGCTCAATGGAGCCTAGTCAGAACAGTAAAAGCAGATTAGAGCACGATTTGTCCTTACACTAATGTAGACATGCTGGGTGAAGGATTTGTTTGCCTTCTGTTACTGCAGGATGGCTAGCATGTCAAAACAGTATGTTTACATATCAAAAGGCATTGCTAAACCTGTGTGACTAAATAATTCCAGGTGCTGTGACATATCCTGGTCTCCAGATGATAATCCAGAGAGATCTGGATCTCTCATAAGGCCTGTGACACATCTGACAATCCAGACACATCTGAACTGAACCCTAGGTCTCCATGGACTGCAGTGAGAGCGTAGACCCTTTGGGTAAGTTTCAGCTGCCTTTTAATGCCATATTAGCCACCTTGATGCATCTTAACTACACTTCAGCTGGCTCTTTAACACTCTGGACTACCTAAGGCACTGGGTTGGCACATAGCACACAGGGCACATTCTGTAGAGTCTACAAGAACTGCACCCATAGAAAGGGGTAACTTAAGGCTCTTTGAAAAGGAGGGGAGGCCTCGATATCTTTTACGTTGAGTGATAAAAAGTCTGTACATGTTCTGCAGTCTGATATCTGCTTTTCTGAGGCGGTTTTATTACGTGGCATTCACCCTAAATAGCTGATTATCTATATAGAACTCATCTTCCTCGGTGCACCGGACAAAGTTAAATGCCTTGACAATGGCCAACAAATGACAGCATGGGAGTTCATGCAGGCTGCAAGGACGTATGCGTTTAGACGTGGCACCACAAGCTTCCATTACTCTTAATTTAGCTGAGGCAAAGAGTGTCAGAATAACTGAAAACATACATAAAAGACTGCAGACACAGTTCCTGATCTATGTTTGTCACTCTAAAATGACAGAATGGCAAATGAGACACTTGGTAGCACTTTGCTCAGCTGAAAAGTTATCCCTCTACTGCTAGAAACTGAAGTCAGAGCCACAGGGAACTGGAAGATGCACAGAGACAAGAAGACCTGCTGTCCTATAAATTGGCATATCATAACGAGAATGGCATAATGTGTAGCTACCTACAAACAGTACAGAGAGCACAACAGCTAGCCATACAGTCCCTAACCATCCCCAGTACGCGCTTCAGAGGTACAGATGAAACTTTTTCTATGACACCAGAACAGACAGAATTAAGAGGCACTGAACCAGG